AGAAGGATGCGCCCTAATCAAGCTGGATTTAGACCGGGGCACGGTTGTGCTAACCAGATATTCACGTTAAGAAGGGTGTTGGAACATCGCTTCAAATATTTGCAACCCACTATCAAGTGTTTCATCGACTTTGCGGCTGCCTTTGATTCAATTGATAGAGCGGCGCTTTGGAGGATGATGGAATGCGACGGTGAAGATCATTCGACTCATAAAGGCATTTTATGAGCGCATATCGGCACAGGTCTGCGTATATGGAGAACTGACAGATTCCTTCCAAATAAGAATTGGTGTTCGTCAGGACTGCTTCCTTTCCCCTATAGTATTCAACTATGCGATAAACTGGGTAATGGATACCGCTTGTCGGCATTCAAGAGGTGTCCAAATCAGTCGAGAGCATCGTATAACAAATCTTAAATACGCTGATGATCTCCTTTTTGCTGGCAGTTATTACGAAATGCAATTAATTTGCACAAAACGAAAGTCTCTTCGTCTTATGTACAAAAAACTGGTAGAATGCCTCTTTTTGTAAATTCATTGCCGGTCGAGAAAATGCCCGATTTTAAATACCTTGGGTCCACTCTAATAATGGCTTGGCAAAAGATGATAGTATAGCCCGGATCACGGCAGCTAGAAATGCATTCCGACTTTATGGAGTCATTAAATTACCATTAAAACGAAAGTCCGCATCTATATAGCCGTAATTCATTCGATCTTGCTATATGGCTCTGAGACATGGTCAATGAGAGTGGAAGATATTAAGAAGCTATCTACCTTTGACCACTCTTGTCTAAGGTACATTTTACGGGTCACTCGAGCAGATAAAATATCACATGATCGCATCCATCTTCGTTCAAATTCATTAATAATTTTATCACAGAGTGTCGCCTTCGGTGGTTAGTGGTTCTCCGTCACTCACCACAATAAGTGTCGCATATTTCGTTACATATTTCGTAACCGTATGATGGATATCATTAAAAGCGAGGTGGGCCAATCAAGAATTAAACTGATACGGGTAGGAAAGATTTTGAACGTATAGATGGACCAGCAATATTTGGACTTAGACAATGGAAAAAGGGCTTCTATTACTGTCGACGATGGCATCAGATCGCGCCGTTTGGAAGCGTCTTACCCTTGTAGCCGTTGAAGCCAGCCTAACCAGTGATGGTGAGAGCTGTTAGAAGAAGAAGAAGAAATTGGGTTTGCTGGTTTGGGTTTGACTCAAGAGTCACACAGATCAGTCTCGGACATAGAATCAATATGCTATGATGTGGTCAATTTTTACTAATAGCTAAGAAGAACTGCAACAAATATTAGAATGGCTATTGACAGCAGCGAAAATTGCCTTTCAAATCAATGTAAATAAGAAATTTTTTTGTCCTTTGTCCCAGACGCTGTCATATATTGTGCAAATTCATCAATGGTCAAATTAGCAAGCTTCAAAAGTCTCAAATCCACTCTCATGGCAGGCATATAGATTTATTGGAGAGATTTTTAGGCCAAATTTTTTTGGAACCGCCGCGAATCAGTCTCAAAACGAAGGTTCGTATCTGTCTAGCTATAGCATCCACAATCCCTCTATATTAGAAGAGAAGATGTTTGGATATGATATGCTTTTGATAATTCCTGTCTAAGATGCGTCCTTCATACTATCCAAGTGGATAGAGTCTTCTTACATGAATGCGTCCACTTTCGCTTCAGATAGCATCTGCATTAAAAATATTGTCGCAAAGCACTGCTTGTAGTTTGTCCATATTCTTTGTCGTCTGCCATAAGAATTAATGCACATCTCGCTACTTGTTGATCCTTGTGATGGATGATATCAAAAGCGAGACGTGCCAATCAAAACCTGGTCTGGTGCGACCAAGAAAAATTTTGCACACATAGCTGGGCCAGCGATATATGGACTTAGATGATGGTAAAAGGAAAACGAATGACTTATACTGCTGTCAGCGATAGCATCAGATCGGACACTTGCAGCTAGCACAGCCAGCCTTATTAGTAATGGTGAAGAAGAAGAAGAAAAGTATATCTTTAACAGAAAATTGCCTTTTTCACTGATGAATAATTGCACTAAATTATCGAACAACAAAAATCATTACGATTATTCAGAGCACATAAGCAATTCCAATTTTTTCGGAAATGGAGAACAACTGATCAATTGTAATTTTATTTGAATGTTGTAATATTTTTAAATAAAAATTTGTGCGAACCAAATAGATTAAATGATTTTTAAATTTTTAAATAATTTAATAATGTTGCCATAGGTTTGCAAATTTGAAGAAGATCGGTTTGAAGCAGCTGAGAAACCCCCGGTTACACCACTGTTGATATTGTCCAAACTTATCATTAAGCAATATTGATGCCACCTTATCAAATATTTGTCCTTTATGCTGAACTAATTCGTTTTAATCCTTCCTCACCGGAACTGGCCATCGTTATTTTGGTGTTTTGCTACAGCTGAAAATATCTTATATTGCCCAAAAAATGTGCTGTTATTCTAGCATTATCTCTTCTATTAATTTAAAAGGTCTATTCGGAACCCTGAAATCTTAGATAACTGCAATTTTTAAAAAAAGTGGTTAATGAATCCATCCAACTGCCATCTCGTTAGTACCAACGCAAAAGTAGGTTTAGATTTTTCGATAGACTATATATTTTATATTTCTATACTATATATATTTATATAGTAGATAGACAATATATAACAAATTGCACCAACGTCTTCGGGTGAACAAATTAATTTCCATTTATTTCCATTGTTTTTGCAGAAAAAAATTGGCTGCAACACGAGTCCAGCAGAATGCTTGATTGATCGGTCATTTCCATCGCACATCTCGATTTAGCTATGCTTTAGCGGTCATAATCAGTCAATTGACGTTGCTGCCTTCATTTGTTCCTCACCGGTTCATAATTTACTGCATTTATTGCATTTAAATGGTATTGCGATTCATTTCTAATTCTATTAATGCGCTTATCTACTGGTGGTCGGTAAAATGTTTTATTCAGATGAGAGAGTTCCTCCATTCGAAATCCTAACTCCAACCCTCAATCTGATTAATCCTTATATCGCCGGCAAAAAATCGCTTCGAAATTTTACTCATTAATTTATTTCAAATTTGTCTTGGTTTCTCGCCAACTTCGTCCTTATATCCTTATATTGAAAGAAATATACAAATACACTGTTCCGCACTGTGACAATTTCGGCAGTATTTTTTTGACCAAAACGTGATGCCTGCCGGAAATTCCGAGATTACTGTATTTTAAAATTGTTCAAAAATAATTGCATCATAAGGTTATAAATTTATGTAAGATTATAAAGTTTTTATCGTTTGCTAGGGTCAGTTTTCATTGTTTCCTTGGATTAGTTTTCGTCGTCTGCTCAGGTCAATTTTTTCATTGTTTGCTTCATTTTTGTTATTTTGTAGGGTCATTTTTCATTTGTTGATTCATTCGTAGAGTTAGTGTTCAACGTTGGCTTTAAACGCGGTGGCAATTCTTAACGTCTCCTTTTTTTGCTAAACTTTGATTTACTGCTGTTAATATATTTTTTTTGCATGTCACCTCATTCGTGTTGCTATTTGGATAGCGCTTTCAACTGGCTGGATAAGCATCAAATCGTGAAACCATCGATGAGTACGTAAGTCACTCCTTTCAAAGAAACCATCGATGAGTACGTAAGTCACTCCTTTCTCTATCTGAATTTAACCAAAACTTTTCACGACACTACCGAAGCTTGGAGCACTTTAATGCGGACCAAGTCGAGAAAAAAATTATAAAAGATTTTTATAATTTTATAATAATTTTTATAAGATATAAAGAAATTTTTTTATGAACAAAATTAAAAGATTCTTCGTAAGATTTAACAACAATATAATTATGCTATAATGGAAAATAATAGAAATAAAATAATAAAACTATGCTAAGCACATTTTATAACATTTTGTATCATTAAACTCATTTATACATTTATTCATTTTGCACCATTAAACCTATGTTTAAACCTAAATATACTTCAGATACCACGATACTTTTCACGACGATAACTGCCTTATGAAATGCAACTGATAGTAGTGCTCTCATGGTTCTTTCATTTCCTTCTATGTAACTATCACAGAACTGAAAAAATTAAATTGTCGACATATTAACTGAAAAAATATTTCGATTCTTCCTTCAAATAATAAATCCACACGATATAGCCAAAGATACTAAAGCCAAAAAAATATACATCGGAAAAGAATGAGATTCAGAATAGAAAAAGGATCGACATAATTTGTCCAATTTTTCTCTAAAGAAAATAAATTTGAACCAAATAAAATTAATTTAAAAATCCAAACGCAGTAAAAGTCCCAATATATTAGTGACTCTTCCTATTTTTACAGATTTTTTTTCAAAATATCCAATTACGATAACCACAGATTTATGCTAATAAAGGATAATTAAGTGTAAAATAATAATATAAATAGTCCTTAGAAATAAATTTGACAAAAACATTATCATTATAAAAAAAGATCATAAAAACCATTTCCACTTGGTTATATCTCATTTAGGCGGATTTCAGCTTCTTCTTTGTTTCATCGTACGTAGCCTACAAAACTAAGCAGGTAAGAACAAGAAACTAAAAATTAAAGTTCCTTTATAAAAATTTAAGATCTTTTGAGATCTTTCCAGTATTAAAAATTTATCAAAAAGTTTCAAAAAAGATAATATTCGTCAAGCGCCAAAAAAATACTTTTGCAGATAACTTTTCCACTTCATTCGGATGACTTTTATAAATATTTTTGTGAACACTTATATCTGTATGCGATCGACCTAGAATATATTTATGAAATATGATAATGAAATATGATATTTACATTTTACTGGATCACCACTTGAAGATTCTATATTTATAAATCGTCCAACCGAATTTTAATTTTTGAAAGCTAATTTAAAATTAGATATGTTTTGAAATCTGAAGATATGAGTAAATTTAAATTATTAAATAGGCTAATATTTATTTATTACGAACTTGTATAAATCAACGTTTTATATGACCATGCGAAGACTATAATGGTTACCATGAACCAGTGTACATAAAAGTGTACTGAATTCCAATATCGAATAGTATCTGTCCAAGTTAACAATAAAAATCCGGAAGCCATAAAAGCGAAACTCAACTGACGTATTATATACCAGCTTTAAAACAATTTGAACATAAAATTTAAAAATATAATACGATAAAAAAAAATAAGATAAGTAAGAATGAAATAGATCAGCCAATTTCATAATTTCTTAATCGAATTTTTTTCTTAAATTAAGTTAAAGATGACAGACAAAAAAAACCAAATATTGAAGAAAAATGGTCGGCAACCATTCGAATTAACTGGGACAATCGAAAAAAGTAAATCCTCTGCGAACGTGCATAAGGGAATTGTAAGAAAAGAAAGGTAATAACCAGGATGGACACCATGCCAAAAAGCACTTACTGACATTGTTAACAACATTCTAAAATTCATTTTAAGATGTCTTTTATATTCTGATCACAACATATTCGATACTAAATGATAAAATTTTTAATTTATCAAGTCGATTTCTCAATTGCATATATACAGCAGTCGATCACCGCCGACTCATCGATCAATATTCTCCAGAGATTTCGACAATGGCCGTTCGATGCCAATCTCTTCCACTATTTTTTACCACAAAATCATTCCTTCTCAGTGAAGATGCCGACTTTAGATATTAAGGATAAATCAAATCGAGTTAAGCTATAAGATAATAGCATTTTGGAAATTTCCACTAAAGAAAAAGATAGAAAACATCAAATTTACCCAAAACCTCGTGGAACTCGTTTATAGACAAAGGTAGCGAGCCAATATTGGACCGATCGATTCCAAGCTCTTATGCCACCACGGAAAGTTGGATCCAACTCGATTTCCCAGATATCCAAATTTCGAACAGCTTCAGTATCGTATTTGATTTTATGGTTCATATGTTTTCTGCGAAAAAAATGAATTTTTTTAATTTAATTTTGTTAAAAACTTGAAAAGTTTTAATTAAAAAAAGATGAATTTAACACAGTGATTGAGTCCTATTTTGCCTCGAAATCTCTTATTTTGTATTTCTCATGGATTAAGCCTTTCGCTCAGTAGTATAAAAGTGAGATCTGAATGATTGCAGTAGACCTGTACTCCTATCTTCATGCGCCTACCTGGAAAAACGCTCATCTAAGTGCCTCATTTCAATGATTTAAAAAAAAAATAAAAAAACCTGAATTCATTTAATTTTGTAGGTCCGTGGCCAGCCCGTGAAGCACTTACTTCTGGATACAAACCAATGCCATTTAAAATACAAATTGATTCTGCAACCATCCATGCACTGTACACACGACATCGCATCCAGAAAAATATGAGAAGACTTATGTAAATGCGATAAAATATGGTTTCGTCATAGAATTGTTTCTCTCGTAACATCTCAAACAAAAGAGAAATATTTAGGCTTTTATATAAAGTAATGAAACAATATTGTAAGTATTGTAAAATAAAGTAATATTCCAGTAAACTTTAAAAAAATATAACAATGTGGTGAAGCAAAAATAAAAAAACATGAATTTAACATAGTGGTTGAGTCCTATTTTGTTTCGAAATCTCTTATTTTATATCTCTCATGGATTATGGCTTTCGCTCAATGGTATAAAAGTAAGATCTGAATGATTGCTGAAGATCACCTGCATTCCTATCTTCATGCGCCTAAAACGCTCATCTAAATGCCTCATTCCAATACCAAAAATAGAATGTATTATCAGAAAAAAATGATATAAAAATTAAGCTCAAGCAAAACAGTTTTGAAGAGAAATATAATTATAGCCATGAAAAAAGAACAAAACATTGTGTTTATTTCATGTTCACCTGCAAAGGAAACACATAAACCAGAATTAAGAAAGCAGGTAAAGACCAAATTAAAATAAGAAGGCGCCATTTGATATGTTCAAAAACGGAAACATCCATTATATTATCATTATCCACAACATCACGATGCATAGCATACGTGTAATACGGGCCTAAAATATTTCAAAATATTTCAAATATTTCAAACACAAAGCAAAGCGAAAGAAAAATATTCGTGAACTATCTTAACTATCTTTCTTAAACCGAACAGTTAACTTTAATTTTTGCTGATACGATATTCAAATAACATCAGATCAAAGGAATTAAGATTAAAGTTACCTGTAAATAAGCCGGCAAAACTGTAAGAATAAAAGAATGTTTGCCACCAACACGGTTGTACAATAAATCTTACGTGATTTGTATCATAACAAATGGTGTCTTTTCTCCTCGCGTCTTCAATTTCAAACGAAAGACCAACCAACTGAAATAAAATAATTATTTAAATAATTGCTGATTGTTGCTAAGACTGAATCAACTTTCATATCAATCCAGTTTCTACAATATAAATTGTAAATTTTTTTTTGTAAAAAATAACCTCTTCGACTGCCATTTTTGGACCGGTGACATACCTTTCAACATAAATTTTTATGAAAAACACCGATTTCTTGTTCACACAAGTATAGATGAGTTCTCAATAAACATTAGAACTCTTAATTGTAGCAAAAATTACATTCCCATTAAGGTGTCGGAGATTTTTAAAAATCCGATAAAAATATACCCTCAGAGTTATAATTAACTGTACGGCGTTCACATGAGCAACCAGTGGAGGAAAACCAAACAAATGAATCATGCGAAGTAATCCTAGATAAATAAACGTCGTCACAAACGATATTAGCGGTAAATACCTGCAAAAATAATAGTCTAATCATCTGTATTTCAAAGATTATTGGTTACTACTAAAATAAGGATAGAATAATGCGATAATATTATAACAGCAATAACTTAAATCAAAAAGACCCTTATTGTATTCGTATAAATGCGAGAAATAATCCAAAACTTAAAAAGTAAACTGTTATCTTAAAAAAATTTTTTTAAAGATAAGCATAGCCAAAAAAATAAGAAAACAGTTTATACAGTTTTATGAAATGATAAAATGACGATAAATTTTTTTTAAAATTTACCAGCTACGAATTTTACCAGTATTTTCTATAAAAATTTTAATAAAAAGAAAAAAATACTGAAACAAACTGACCGATTTTTTACTACTGAATGCAAAAAAATATTTCCAAAAACTATGATTAATGAGTAAAAAACACGCCATCTTGCAATATAGAAAATTAGTGATATTCCAATTATAGCACTACTGCATTCTCGCATCAAACCACATTTAAACTAGATAAATTCATAAATTTAAACATTGCTTGTTTATTGAAATATGCTCCAAAATTGCGTTGAATTAATTCTATATTATCAGATTTTGTTATTACCAAATAAATTCTTTTAAAATCTATTGACTATTAATCGAAAATATGTTCTTTTAATGCAGAAATAAACTTCTTGAATTATAAACTAACCAATCGCATAAGAAGTGAAAAGAAAAACGAAATTACTAAAAGTTCCACATAAATAAGATCATCCATACGCTCCATTAAAAGTTCTGATAAAGCGGTCCACATGCTTAAATTTGTCCCATTTATTTGTATCCCAAAACTAATTGCTGACATTTTGAAACATCCTGGAAATTTCAACTGGTTTAATAAATACCCTTTTTTCCTCTTCTTACCCTTACCCTTCTTTTTAACAACTCGCATCAATACTGATTAGGCTGGCTTGACTGGCTACAACGGAAGAAATATTAATAGATTCTTACATTTATAATGATTTATATACTAATATTGAGTTTAATATCGTTTCTAAAGAGAAAGGAACTTTATACCGTTCTCTGTGTTGTATAATATCTTACTTTACAATAGTGAGAATGTTAAAAGTGCTTTAGATATGAGTGGTAGTCTCTTTTATTTTGAAAACCCTGTCAAGAAAGAATCTGACAATTCTCCACATATATCTGTGCTAGTTTTCACTGGTAAAATGCGATTATAAATCGAAAGACGACCTTTTCTAGAATTCCATCGGATCCCATCATCCCTCAATTGAAAGCGGCGGCAAAATCAATGACACTGGATTATTAATATAATAATAGATTGTTAATATTTTCCCCATAGCCTATATATTTGGACAGCCTAGCTTTGGTCTGAATCTATCTGATTAGGGTGCATTTTACGTTAATCTATCCAGCAGAATGGAGAAAATTTCTTAGAGATAGGTCTCTGACAGCTGTCATAATATATCTTATTCGAAGATTGGGACCAGGATTACCTTACAGCAGTCATTTGATATTCTTTCTTCCACACTTGAAATCAAATCCATTGAATTATGAAGGACATTGTATAACATTTGATGACTCAGTCCCTAGACCATCTTCTCCAGGAGTTTGGCTTTAAGCTTATGAATGAGATTATTTCACATTCTATTGCTGGCTCATAAAAATATGGCCCCAAGCTATATATACAAGCTATATTCTGGATGAAAGATGCGTCGGAAGTTTCCATAAAGGCACAACACCATTTTCTCGGACCATTTCACTGATAGTTTCCCCCATTAAGGTTGAAGAAAGCAAAACAATTTTTTATTATCATTCAATCTAGCAATCTAGCAATCTTCTCCAAATCCAGGATTATATCACTTCAGTGCCGGTTTCTAGTCGGCCATATCTTCCAAGCATCTCTTGCTTGGCTCCGATTTCGTGCTCTATCAAGCTTTTTAGACAGTTGAGCTGTTGCTTCCTATATCCAACTAACGCATTTTTAAGTGGTACGTCCTAGCATGGATTTGGCAGACCACAGTGGGTTGAAGTCAGAGTTTATATTGGACTTTGAAAATAGTTTTGCACGATTTTTATTCGCAAGTGAAAGATGAACAGAAAAGAAATTTTTAAAATGAAATTTTACAAAATTTCAATTTTCAGAATTTCAATTTTAGAGAAATGAATCTAATAGAGCAAGAGGACCGCAATGAAATTTTGAATCCATATGAGGTGATGATAATGACTCTAAGCACCGAAAAGCATCACACTAATATATAAATATAAATATATATAGGTAAATACGATAAAAATGTGGTTGACACATATTTTGTTATTTGCCTGATGGGTGGCGAGGTGGGCCAATCAAGACCTGGACTGATACAGAAATGATTTTGAACGTATAGGTGGACCAGCAATACATGGACTTAGATGATGGGGAAGGAAGTGACTTCTATAACTATCAGCGATGCATCTGATCGCGCAGCTTAGAAACGTCTTACTCTTGTAGCCAGCGCAGCCAGACTAACCAGTTATGGTGAGAGCTGTTAAAAAAAAAAACAGAATAAAAATCTAGTCTAACATGTATGAAATCGACGATAAATCAACATCCAAAGTGAATAGTATTCTCAAAATTCGCATTTCATAAGGACACGATTCATCTTGACCTCCATTGCACTATTCATTTTATTGCGCATTATTATGACAATTGATCAGACTAGGTCAACTGCCAGTTAATATAAAATATATCAAATAAATCCAATATAAAACATAGAAATATAAAATCCTCGTGGCGAACTATTTTAATACTTTTAAGGTCAAAAAAAAGGATTAGAGCTAATGAGAAGTGAGCGCGGAAAACTGATAAAATTTGCTGACTGATAAAATTTCTATGATAAATCTGCGATATATACGCGCAGAAATCCAAGCAAGAAGGAACTGCGAAGAATAAGAAACATACTTTTCTTTATTACGATTAATAAAAATTGAAAAACTGCTAAAAACTGGTTTATTCCCTAATAAAAAAATCAGTAACGGTGGTGAAAATGATAATTTATTTTATAAAATATTTTAAGTTTCTACTAAACAAAAACTTAAAATATTTTTGAAAACTTACATTAAATTGTTTTGATGAAATGGTGAATTCCTTCCTTCCTTGCCGTTCTTCGATATAAATCCGGTTTCTTTGACTCTTTCCACCTCAACTGGCCCATTTAAAAAAATTTTTTTGAGCCATGGAACAGGCAAAAGATGCAACTCGGACACAACTTTTATAGTGCGGATTTACGGCCGGGCCGACGAATTTGGCGGTGGAATGAATCAATTCTGCAAGGAAGTTTTTGGTGCATTTTTCGGAATTTTTAAAATTTCCAGGGTAGCAAAGTTTTCTGGAATGGGGATGGAGCTTTCCTATGCTTCAAATTTAAAATATAATGCGATTTCCTGCTGACTTGCTGTTTTTGTTTATCCGATGCTCAGTGACAAAAATAACAGCAAAATATTTATCCATTTTTCCTCACAGAAATGCGATACCGACAAAGCAAATTCTTGTTAGGGAATTACCGCCGGCGATCGCAAAAATATGGCGATGGAACAAAGGCTAAAATGCGCCGTCTCCTTACGAACTGTTGACGGTGAGACTGGGGTGTCGGAGAGGGAAATGTCGAAAATTTCAACATACATTTAGAAAAACTCACCTGGCTTTCCACATATTGGCATGAAAAGTATGGTGGGCTATGGAAGAACTAAAACTATAAGTCATCAGTCATAATTAATATTTCAGTCCGTAAAGATCACAAAAGGAAATGAAGGTGAACGAACCAAAAAAGGACAAGGTGCGCTAAGACAGTTTATTCATTAGACGACGATTTAGGAGAACACCGCATCGATAGACTTTCAGGCACATCGTCCTAATAGCGCTTGTAGAACTAACCAAGTCAACTAACCAAGTTAAAACCAGTACTCTGTTAGACGAAGAAAGGGCAGCGAGAATGCTCATAAATTGTATGTAACTCAGTGGTAGTGGTAGAAAATAAATATTCTTAAAACCGCTGAATCTTAATGCATATAATGAAGTACCATAATGCGAACGCTGCAAGAACTAAACGCGAGTCGTATTTGAGGTACCATGTGGGTATATTTAGCACACGTTATTTGTTCAGAAACATCACTTAACACTGATCCTTTCAACCTCTTATGTCAGTGTCTCCTCTCCTTTCAGTTCTACCGATTGGGAAACTGCTTGCGCCCACAATTTTCTCACCCTTATCTAATCCTTTGGAATTTCAAAATTCTTGTCAGAAGTGGATTCTCCACTAGTCGAGAACTTCTGCACTTAAGTCTCTGTTTTTCGGATTTTTTTATATATTTGGTTTTATTTTTCTTTAGTATTAAGTAATTTTACTTTTTTCACGTATTGTTAATTCTTATGGATAAATGAATTTAGCGAAGTTTCGGAAAATTTTAGGAAAATTATGAAATTCTATTCGTTATCCAGCGATTCCATTATCATTCCAATCGACTAAATGCCAATAAACAATAGCAAAATTCTTATTGTAATTCTTCCTTCTTCAGTTCACTATTAAATATTTTCTTTTTCGGCAGTGAAATGTGAAAAAAAAGACAAAAATTGATTTTGATCAAAAAACCAAAAAACTTGAAAATTTTCTCATTGTAAAATGGATATTTAGAGAATAACCAAAACATTTAGCATGCAGCGATAAGGGCATCGCCGACTATTCTTGGTTTTGTCCATCTGCTTTAATTTCTTATCTTATAGTTTTCCTTCCAGCTACAAAAACTTAGATTGCGCAGATTTATCAAAACAATATAAAAATAATAATAATAAAATATCAATAACTGAAGAATAATAAATAAGAAAAATAGTAATAACTTTACTCTTTTCATCTTTTATCTATAAAATTCCTTTAAGTGGATTTTTGACAAGAAATATGCTCAATTTATTTCTTAAAGAAGCTCGAAAGGCGGAAATGGTTCCCATTTTAGCAATAAGAAAGGGTAAAATTGCAAAGAAAAGTTGGTTAAATGGAGTGATATTCGCCTCCCTTTTATCCCTTTTTTTATTGCGCATTTAATGGCAAAAATATTGAAAATATATGCAAATAGCAAAAATAATAAAAATTTTAGTTCCAAAAAGAATCGAAATTTCAAGTTCAATGAATAAATAAAAACTTACATTTTAGTAAATTTATATTTTTTAAAAAAATAATTCTTCGAAACGTACTTTTAACTTTGCCATTAAAATACTGCATTGGCTTAGCACTCTGATCTGGCTGAAAGGTTCCGAACCAGTTTTCTTTATTTCCTCTTCGAATGGCATTCATATAAAATTATACCGGTTCATGAATAGATCTGCGATAGCCGAACTTTTCTGCCTTCATCTTATCTTACTCTACCAACATTATCACTAATCACGCTCTCCATTTATTAACTTTCACGTGAACCACATCTTTCTATCACCAAATTTATTTTCATGAGCAATCTTTTATCTATTTTAAATCTTTTATCTAATGAAGTAAACTAAACGTCGAAATGGAATCTCTCTTTTTTTATTGTTATTTTATTATTCTTGTTTTTCTTATTGTTATTATTAAAGACACTACAATTGAGGTGGGAAAAAAATTGTCGAGGTGGCAAGAGAGCAAATAGCAAATACTTCTCATGTCTGAGGCAAGTAAATGCAATGTATGTCGCAAAAATTTTCAAAAAAAAATCCTCCGGACCAATATGTTGTTCACACGTCGAACACCGAAGGAAGTTTACTTTTGATATTTTCGCTTTCTGAATGAAACTGTG